AAGAAATCAGAATGAGAATGGGTGTACGCGTATTGCTTACCGTCGAAACGGGTGATGGCAAATCTTGAAAGGTCTACTGAAAAGAACTGGACGATGCCCACCGCATGACGTCTTAAAACGAATGGAAGTTTATATTCTTCAAGCCACTGGCATTGTTAACACCTACAGTTCTAGGATGTTTAACTTTCCAGAACCCATTTCCGTATTGTGTTGTCTTCACTCTAAGCGGAAATGAAATTTTGGGTGTCGTTGTCGTGACTTATCTGTCAATGGTTATCCGAGGTCCTATTATGCTCGGTATGCAGAGCTTGAAACTTTACGTTTGTTTGTAGGTGGACTGATTCTAGAGGGAAAATGTAGATGAGGTATCGTTTTGAAACTCAGTTTGGTAGTGAGTAACATAGGTCAATACCAGCCAAATAGTACTGCCAGCAAATGAAAGTTTTTCTGGGGTTTGTGATTAGTACCAAATTCTGATAATGCTTATATATCAATGTGATCACCAGTCGAGACGTCTGATAATGGCATCAAATTGGGGTAATGAGCAAACTCCTCCTTGCAGCTACCCACCCTAGAGACTATATTGAAGTGTGCCCATTTGTAACCTTTTTGATTCAGCATGCTATTTTGCTATAATCTCGCATCTCTTCCATTTTCTTTCCATATGGTTTGCAATAAGTCGGTAATCATAAGATATTGGTTGGGTTATCATCATCTCGTGTCTCTATCTTCATCATGATCTTGTCAAAACCATTAAATATTTGTTTTATGTTTTGTAGGTATGGCGATTTAATTGGTTGTCAATAAATGCCATCATATTTATTTTTTAAATGTAGCATTTATAGTTAAAAAAGTATTTTGTTTGTTTTTATTTAGGTTTTGGGTTTTAACTCGCGTCAACGACGAGCATTTTACAATGCGGTCATGCGATGGGGTATGCCTCCACCTGATGCCTTTAATTCGCAGTGGTATGAAACTGAATTTGACAGTTCGTCAATTTATTTATTTCATCTGTAATAATTGCGGGCATTTCAGTCACTGGAGATCGGAAAAATTTAATGCCATCTATCTATTTTCGAGGCACCTTAATTTTTTTCTGGCCGCAATGGCAGTAGTTGCAGGATGTTTTACGAAAAATTTCAGCTTTCTTCTTGTCAGGTGAGCTACCCGGGTGGGATGTCAAGGCACGAAAATAAGATTCTCCAGCTATTTTGTTCTTGGATCGTCGGTTTGCTTCTGAACTCCATTCCGTTAACTTTATCAGGAGCTTCTTGATGAGTCTCTTCTCTGACATTCCTACAAACCATGTGATATGTTGAACTGCAGAAGTTCACCAATAAGGATTGTCATATTTTTTCACATTAATCCCGCAGGTGTTCAAATGTAGTTTTAAATTGTGCACGTAGAAGTAATCGCCCCATTTAGTTTCTGTTTTTTCTGTCTATGGCTGACGCCCGGTAACTGCGAGAACACAGTCATAAAAGCTATATTTTCCGTACGTGTCAGTTCAGCTCAGATTTAGTTTTGGTAAATACAATTTTTGTTTGGACAAAATTTGACAGGTTTTAAACCTGGTTTTAAACGCAGGTCTTCGCAGGCATCTGTTCACTGCTATTGAATCTTAACAACTCGTTTTCAGAACGGTGAATGGTTCTGAATCATTTTGGCCTCTTAGGATCTAATGATTGTCTAGCAAAAGGCATCGATTAGCTACAGGTCTGACCATAAATCAAGAGTAGAAGGTTGTGATCAGATCTGACCCAGATTCAGGAAGAGTTCCATCAGAAAGAAAGGGAAGTTTGTAACCTATGGAATGTTGGTCTTCAGTGAAGCTAATCATGAGCACTGATCTTCTTTCCGTGTTATTAACCAAGAGTGTCTCATTCATGGGCAGATTCGACATAGGCTGTGGCAAGCATAACGTTAGGCTTTTCATTCCAGCCCACGATTTTTACTCGTTTATCAACCGGGAAACGAAGAAAGGCGAGTGATCGTGACCTTTCGAACCCAGGACCTTTCGATTTGAAATCAGTCGCTTTGCCGATTGAGAAACCCCGGTAGTTCGATCAGAACTTTTCTCTGGCCCATATTCTATGAATTATTTGCCGCCTCTTTTGTGGTGTTGCTCGTTGACTGATGAAAATCTAGTCGATCCTTCAATCGAAGCGAAAACGAAAGCGTGTTTTGTTTGATTTTAGGTTGGTGCGTGACCTGAAAGGCAAATCAGAGAAGTCGTTCAGATCGTACGTGTCGTTGTTCATGCGACATCTGTGCGAACCCGGCTGCGACAACTCCGAGACGTTTTCGGACGGCGTTCCGAGGGAAGGCCTGAATAGGCAGCATGTGCTGTCGCGCATCGGCATCATGTCACTGATCCGCAAGAAGGTGCAAGAGTTCGAAATGGTCAACGGTGCCTGGAGCATTCCGGAAATGCAGCAGCTCGCTGAAAGTCAGCAGAGCAAAGACTCAGCTATCCGCGATGTCGACGACATCGCTAAAGACATGACGCCTGCTGAAAGCAACGGCAGCGAGGACATAATCAATCAGGTAAGTGGTTGACAAGAAGATTACTTGACTTGATCTGATGATTAGGATTCACAGACCGTCCGTTTACTTTAGGAAACTGCGGTGCCGAGTCTTCCGGAGAGCAGTGAAAGCAACGATGCCAGTAACATGGAACCACCATCATCGGTGTGTGGACTGACGTCGTTGCCACAAGCGGCCTCAGAAACTGGTGAGGACAAGCCTTCATCTTCATCGACCACCGCTTCCGCGTCACTTGTCATCACCGAAGAGCCGCTTGCCGAAGATGCCGGCGGCAAGCTGATGATTGACATAGGCGATTGTGGCGTTTCCGGTACTGAAGATGCTCAGACGGTGGAAAAGATCGTCGATGACAATGGTGCAGTGCAAACTACCCCGACGGTGGATGACGATTCGAATGTAATGGTCAAAACAGATGACGTCGAAAAGGAGGCGACTACCCCGAGCAGCACTCACGAAGCGACAACTTCGTCAACGAAAATCGTACCCCCTTCTGACGGTGATCAGAAAGTGAAAAAGGGGGAAGCCGAAGAAAAGTCAGTCTCCAGCAAACCAAAGTTCATGTTCAACATCGCAGGTACGGACATCGATTACTGTTTGTTTTTTTCCTCTCATACTCGATATGGTTCAGCGACTTTAACTGTTATAAAACCCTTGTGCATTTAGATTCTCTAAATAAGATGGCTTCGTATTATATGCTGAGAAATGTCTATGGGTAACGATAAGCGTTGAAGCATTCAGATACAGCGACACTAGTTAATCTGACCACAACGGTTTACCGCCGGTTAGCTAATGATGCAATGGTAAATACGTAATCCAGTGTTTCCTCAGTCACTGGTAGGCTAATAAGTGCGGTATGTTGCCAGTGGCACCAGTGAATGTCCGCCACTTGATCTTTTTAAGTGAAGAGACAGAGTATGAAAGTGGACGTATGGAACAAACAGTATATGCCATAATCTGGAGTTCATTTAGACGATCGTTTTTGGTTTAATACTGATAATGCTAGAGTTGACTCATTAAGTTGATGCAATAGTTAACCTTCGTATTGCAAATGAAAGAATGAAGAAAGAGCTGTATATGAATTGCATAAAACACTGCGTTTTGAATGCAATTACCAGTGAACACTGTTATTCCGCATTACATCGGAGAAGTTCCAGTTCAGCAAGGTTGCTGATTGAAATGGTGATATGACAGAACACGTTAAAATACGCTACAATCACCTAAGTAGATAGTGGTGTTTAGGGACAGAATCAGACAATTGTTTCATGTTCCGCTAGTAATTGCCATAAAAACTGTATAATTCGAAATTTACGAGGAACATCGCACTGTCTGTTAGGTAAAAATACAAGTACCTAATACCAATGACGGACATGCATTATCTTAAAAAGTGAAATTGTATCCGATAATCATAAGTTAATATTATTCAGATTATTGACTGGATTGTAAGATTGTTTTCAAGGAGCGTGTCACTGTGATACCCGACAAATCTAGCTTTAAACAGCATAAACTTTGACATTATTACTGTTATCACATATGTACGGCTGCATGGTGGAGTATAAGATGATAATAATTGGGAGCACACGTTGTGCTGATTACTACATTGCATAACCAGCTATCGCGTGGATCAAAGCCAAATGCACAGGGGCGCTTGCATCGGACAGCATAGCCATACGTGTTTTTAATTTTCGTATGACCATGAGAAAGTACCATGCTGTCCCGATTTTAGAAGCTGTGCTGCTAGTAGCTTTGAGGACTACAAAACAGCAATACGGACTGAGGTATATTCGAACGTTTTTATTCCATCCAACAAAGTGGTGTCATTTTGCGGAACTGCACTACATGGTCTCGAAGACGGCCTGCTTAACCATTTTGTAGGCTATTCGTAGCATGTAAATGGTACTTGCCTCAAGGTGTGGATGCAGAGTTGACACTAGATAATTTTCTTATTAATGAATTATTACTACATAATAAGAACGGGAGTTATTATACCCGTATTCAAGAAGGGCGACGATAAGGAATGCTCCAACTATAGGGGCATTACGTTATTGAGCCTCTCAGGTAAAGGCTATGCAAAGGTGCTAGAAAGGAGGTGGCGCGAAATAACTCACCCCAAGCAATGTGGCTTCTGGCCCGGGCGAAGCACCTCTGACTATATATTTGCCCTGTGCGAGATTGTTGAAAAATCGTGGGAGTACGCCGAGCCGGTGTACATCTGTTTTGTGGACCTAGAGAGAGCGTCTGACCGGATCCCACGCAACAGTCTCTGGTCATGCCTTCGAGCGTACAGGGTAGATGGCCAGCTGCTAAGGGCCATCCAATCACTGTATTCTGATAGCAGGTGCTGCGTCAGAATTAATGGCGTTAAGTCGAA